CGGAGGCAGGGTCCTGAGCGCATCCCGGCGAGGCAGGAGAGGCTCGTGCTGGGTTAAACCGACAAATTGCTTCCCCTGCTCTCTGCCTTCTGGGTTTTGCTGTGGGATTCATCTGAGAACTCCGTTTTTTTTTGGGGGTGAGCGGTTCCTCGTAGCCCTAGTGTAATGAATAGACCGAAAACTGGCAGCTTGGAGGTGGGTGCTGGTGGCCTCAAGCATCAGATTTCATCTGTTTAGCTGTAAGAGTATCCCTAGGACACGCTACAGCCCAACTCATGGACTTGGCACGCCAGGCTGCGCGGTTCCACAAGTGGAATGCCAAAGCTGGGGGAATAAGCCAGCAGAGTGACGGATTCCCAAACCTCCTAGCCAGGCACAGCTCCGCAGGGAACCTCGTGATTTTTGCCCTCGTTGCTCGAGTTTTTCTGTCCTAGGTGGCTCGCCGAACGTAGGGCCTTTTCCTAAAAAAAAACCTCAGGACCCAGAGCCAGGTCGGACTGGGCCCCGGCTGAGCCCGAAGATCAGGAGGTCTGTGCGTGCCCAGCGCGCGGCCCTGCTTGTGGGAGAGCTGCAGGCCCCGCTGGAGGCTGGGCAGGGAAGCGAAGCGCCCTTCCCTGCAGCGTGGAGTCTTTGGGCAGGAAGAGTGGCTTCTAGGTTCTCTTCTGCGTTGGCGGCAGCCAGTCCTTGCCCCGGAGGAGATGGTGGTTTCATCAGGCTCTGCTGCTGGTGGGACTTGTGCGTTGTAATGGCCTTTAAAAAAAGATCGGTTTGCGATGTCATGTCTCAAGGACGCGTTTTTTTCCTTGATTTAAGAAATCGCTTTCCTTTTATTCTGAGTCATTTTTCTAATGAAAAGTTTTGCTCCTGTAGTAGAGCCTTTTTTTATCTCTTCCGAAGACACTCAGAGAGCCGTCAGCCCGGGCAGGGCTGCACCTCCCCGTGGGGTCAGGCTGCCAAACTAACCAGAAACTCGAAGGCGGCAGGAGATACGATCAGCATCGTTCAAGTCGCGTGGGGTTTAGCCTCGCTGCAGGCACACCTCAGAAAACGCAGTGCGGGAGCAGGAGTAAACGAGGTGAGAGTCTTCAGGAAAGCTGCTGGAGTGGCTCTTTCCTCGTGGGAAGCAGTTGGGTGCCACGGTGGTGGATGCGAGAGGTGGCGGGGGCTTCCCCGAGCGCTTCGGCGTCCGCCCGTTTTGGGCCGAATTGGCTCCGTTACCGTCATCGTTCTGGGTTCGGGTTCTCGGCGCGCTGGGCTTGGCTCAGGGGTTTCCCAGTGGTCCCTCACAAGTGACCCTGTTTCCCACCCTCGAGGGCTGAGGGGTGGCGAGGATTAAGGTGCCTGGGCGCTCGCTGGAGCGGCCCGTGGCGGGTGAGCCGAACTGGGCGGAGAAACGTCTCGGGTTTGCTGCGTGCTCCGGCGCTGCTTAGCGTCATCGTCTCGTTCAGAACCGGGTGTCTGAGCCCTGCCTCTGGGCTCGGTCTCTTCTGACCCTTCCTTGGGATTTCCACGACCTCCCCTGTCGGGCTCTGTGCGAATGGCGGCTGCCTCCCGCCCAAGACAGTTCACATCCCTGGTGAATAAAGTCGGGGTTTATTTTTCCCCTCCCTGTCCTTGCAAGGCGTGGTTCATTTGCAAGGTAACGATGGGCTGTGGCAACCCATTCGTTCCTTCTGCTCCCCTGCGGACAGAGCTGGCGCTCCGACCGGCTCGGTGGGAAGCGGAGCGCGGCAGAGGGTGCTCTGGGGTGCCGGGTGCCGGCAGAGCCCGTCTGCAGCGCTGCTGGGGGGACAAACCCAGCCTGCCATTGGGTGAAGCAGCCACCCCTGCAGGCCAGGAAGCTGTGGTGGGCGCTGCATGGTATCTGCTCAGAGCTGGCTGCTCTAGAAGGAGCTGCAGAGGAGCGGGAGGGCTCGGATCAAGATGTTCGAAGTGTTCGGGACGCCCTAGTTAGGAATAACTCGGCGGGATAAAAGGAACAAAATCCGGGTTGGCTGGCGAGGAAGAGCATGATCGGATCCCGGCTCTGCACGCTCCCCAGCTTCTGAGTTCCTGCAAAGTAAGTGGTGGTCGCTTTCCTGCCTGGCAAACGGGGGTCTCTGCAACTAAACCAGGGGTTGAAAAATACTTTA